AGGCATGTTTGGATGACTGCTGTGAGAAGCCCCGCGGTATCTTACCAGGGCTCCATCTCTTTCTTCCTGAGAGAACACTGCAGCCGGCTGCGTCTCCCAACCCCTCCAAGGCCAGCTCTTGGCACTGCAGGGCCTCCTCAGCCACACAGACAACCCCACTCCCAGTCCCTCTGAGCACGTGCCTAAGTCAAAAGCCAGAGGGGAAGGGTAGGAAGGCAATAGGAAAGATAGGTGTGAACCGGGCATGGAGTCCCTGCCTGTCACCCCAGTGGCTCCGAGGCTGAGCAGGAGTTCCCCCCCAGCCTGGGCAACTTAGACCCTGTCTCAAAATTTAAAGAAAAATTAAAAAGGGCTAGGGATGTAGCTCAGTGGCAGAGCACCCCTGGGTCCAACCCCTAGGACTGCCCAAAACAAGACAGAGACAACTGTGTGCCAAGGCAATCAGTCATCGGTGGCACCTTCAAAACCACCATGCACACCCGTGGAATGCCCCTGTCTGGTCTCGTGCTCCTCAGGACGTAGGAGATGTTTCTGGTCCCCCTCTGCCTGGGAGTGCAGACTTACGCAGCTGGCACCCTGAAAGCAGCTGGTGTCTCAGGCCCTGGGGGAAAGGGGACAGACTCCCCCTGCAGCCCTCAAGGCCTGAGGTGCTCCTGACCGAAAAGGCGGAATTCAGTGACGAGTGCACAGGCTTAGGCACATGGAGATCTGTTTTTGTTTTTGTGATGCTGGGAATTGAACCCAGGGGTGCTTTACCACAGACCTATACCCCTAGGGTCTCGCTAAGTTGGCCTCCAACTTGCAACCCTCCTGCCTCAGCCTCCCAGGTAGGTGGGTTTCCAGGCACATGCCCCCACCTGACAGGAGAGATCTTTAACGGACAGGTGGCGTCTGAGGTGTCAGCCACACTACCTCCACTCTGGCACGTCTCCAGGTGGAGTTGGGAGCAGGTGGCCCCAGCACCTGCATCCTCCTGCCAGGTGTCCTCTGGTCATGAGAAGGCTCAGAGGAGCAGGCCCGGTCCCTGGTGGCACCCAGCATCTGGCCTCTTTAGGTTGCCACCAGGACCGGCCCCTCCAGAATGCTGCTGTTCCCTAGAGGGAGCGTAAGCGCTTCTGCCACCAGCATCAGCAAGATCTGGCCGCTGCCGGACACAGTGCTCTGGAAGCCACCCGGCAGGCCTGTGTGCTCCCACAGCTCTCCACATGGAGCGGGAGCCAGCCGGGCCTGGAGGGCACTCCACGGTCTCCCCACCGTGTTCTGTCGGGCCGTATCCACAGCTCCTGGTAGGCTCTGCAAGCCAGCTGAGATCTCCGAGAGGGACGCTGCATTTGAGTACTCTCTTGGTGGGACACTGGGGGACAGCCGTCCTGCCCAGGCACTGCTCTCAGGACAGCTCTCCTGGCAGACGCTCGGGAAGGCAGGACACCCAGGCTGTTAAGTGCTCAGCGTCCTCATCACTGCTGTGCATGGCTGGCCCCCACCAACACCTCGTCCTGCCCACGGGGTAGGAAAATGTCAGGCAGAGGGGACGTGGCAAAAAGGATTGTCTTTAAGGTCTTCAGTAGCTGCCGGCCCCCACGTTGGCGGGGTCGGTGGCGCCGTCGATACCCACCTGTGTTAACAGGCTCCGTCATTCTTGGTGTGTTTTTTGAGGACTTTGGGCAGATCCGTGAATATAAATGTCAGCTTCCAGTCCTGAAATGTTAGCTTCTAGTCTGAAAATGGGCCGCAGCTGACATTTACTTGACGGGAACCGCGTCTCACCGTCTCTGCGCCCTGGCCTTTCTGAAGGGGGCTACAGATGGCTACCAGCAAGTCCTCATGCCCGAGTCAGGTGTTTGGACCACGTGCTCCTTGGGAGCGTCAGCAGGTGGATTGTCTCTCAAAGCTGCTTGTCGTGGGGGGTGGGGGCACTCGCCACTCCTGATGGGCGACGAAGGGTCCAGGCTCTGGGGGGCAACAGCCTTGATTGTGCCTCTGGGGCCCAGAGGCTGCTGCTAGCTATGTGGACGCCTGGAACGTGGATCCACTGGCTGCAGAGTTCTGCTGCCTGGATCTGCTCCAGGAGGTGAGCCAAGTGGGGCAGCTGTCCACTGGTGGCCGGGCTCTGGAGACTTTGCTCTCAGGACACACTTGCTGTGTCTTGCTGTCCTCGCAGAGCATGTCACTGCCCTCACCAGGCCATTAGGGTTTCATGCCCCAGCTGCCCCCAGTCTGACCTGTGGCGAGCCCCATGGGGGCCCTTGGTCACAGGCCTTGCCAGCCCTGGCCCCCCAGGATGGCTTTGGTCCCAGGGGTTCTTCCCTGCCACAGTCCAGCTGCGGGATGGCACATCTGGCTTGCTGTGAGCATATGGGCTGGCAGGGTGTCCTGCCATGCCTCACGCACCTTGATGCATATGTGGGGAGTTTTGCACTTGGGGCAGTCGTGGAAAAGGTCACCTCAAGCATTTGTGTGCAGGTGTTAGTGTAGACCCCTGTTTTCATTTCTCTGGGGAAATACCTAGGCGGCACGAGCTGGGACACGTGGGCCTTGGATGTTTCACCACGAACAGCACAGCACTGCCACCGTGTCAGAGGTACACAGGAGGCAGCAGTCACAGCCAGTCACAGATGGCCTCAGGGAAGGACTCCACACACCTGGCTGAGGCCACATTGAGACCCAGCACCCCAGCGCTGACAGGAAGTGGAGGGTGGCTCTCAGCTGAGCCAGCAAGGATGCAGCGTGTCCTGCAGCTTTGGAAGATCCCAGCCAGCTCCTTAGGAAACCGGACATGCTCCTGCCACAGAATCCAGGCTGGTGTCACCCACAAACATGTGATGCCTGTGCAGAGGTGCTCACAGGGCTTCATGATCATTGCAAAAGCTCAGAGCAACCAGGACACCCTCAGCAGGAGACCCAGATGCTGGGGTGCTAGTCCGTGCTAAGAGACGCACCTCCAAGCCATGAGCAACATGGGGGAAGCCATACGCATGTCTTTGGGAGAAGCCAGCAAGAAAGGCCACACTGTCTGATTCCAACTATGCGGCATTCCAGAAAAGACACAACCACGGAAACCTGGGGCACTGGGCACAGCGGCCACTCCTGTCATCCCAGGGACCGAGAGGCGAGCTAGGAGGAGGCACGTCCTAGGCCAGCCTGGGCAACCTAGCGAGGCCCTGGCTGGTAATAAGAATGGCCGAGGATGTAGCTCAGCTTGCCTAGCGCACCTGAGGCCCGGTTCAACCCCTAGTACCACCAATACGTGAAAAGTACGAGAGGGCGTGCTCAGGGGAGGGACTGAGGAGGCGGTGGACTCGGTGCGAGACTTAGCTGTGGGAGCATGCTGTTATAAAGTGTCAGAACCCCTGGAACGTGCAAGCTGCCAGGCTTCCATGTGTCCCTCCAAAATTCAGGTATTAGCGCTTAATGACCAATGTGATGGGATTGAGAAGAGGGCCCCTCCTGTGTGGCAGGGAATAAGGCCCTGATGGAGGAGATGTCCTGCAGTGGTCTCTAGACAGCTCTTGTGCCTACCCCATGTGGAGGTGCAGTGTTCCTCCCCTCCAGAGGACTCTGCCACCAGGGTCATCTAGGAAGCAGAGAGCCGCCTCCAGACATGGAACCCTTGGACTTCCAGCCTCCGGAACTGCTGGAAGCGAGTTTCTGTTCTGTGTACCTCTGTCTCTGAGGCATTGCTACAGTAGCATAAACTAAAGGTGAACATGATGTAAATATGGATGTGGGCGATGGCCCCATGTCCCAGGGAGGTGTTGGTGTGACAGAGTGCTGAGCTGGGGAGGCGGCAGTGTGGGGAGGGGCAGTGGGGACTGTCTTGCGCTTTCTGCTGAGTTCTGCGAGGAGCCTACAATTGCTCTAGGAACTCAAGTCTGCTAATAAAAGTGTTAAGAAAAAGCCCACACCTGCTAAGGTGTCTCCCAGGTCCCGCTGGGGGTCCCCAGCACCTGCACTTTCTCCTCTGCTTGTAGCCATTCTAAAGGGTGAGGCATAATTTGCACTCCCCTCATGGAGGAGCATGGGGGAGCCCTGTTTCCCCCGCCATGCTGCCCTGGCAGTCTGGACAAGCTCTGGTGAGCTGCAGGCTGTGTCCTGTGTGTGTGGCTGCTTGCCCTCCTTCACCAAGGGTACCCAGAGCGGGGGGCTTGCTCTCTGCAGTGGGGGCTGGGTTTTGTTGTTTTGAGGTGCTGGGGATCAGACCCAGGAGCATGCACATGCTGGGCAGTGCTCTGCCTCTGGGCTCTGCCCCAGCCCTGGGCTGTCAAACGGGACTAACAGAGACTTCCTTGGAAAATCTGATGGGTGAGTCTGAACCCTGCAGCTCAAGGGTGACTTGGCAGAGCTGCTTCTGCAGACACCATCATCCCCAGTCTCCCAGGCAGCCTCCTTGAACAGGCCCCCGGTGCTCCAGGGTGCAGAAGTCCTGACAGCACTGTGTCAGCAGGGGGCGCCAGGAGCCTACCAGCCACAGCTGTGCCCAGGCCCTCTGCCAATCCAGGACAGCCACCCTCCTGGAGGCAGGACCCTGGCACAGCCTCCTTAATGCCTGTCCACCCCTCACTGTAGTGTCCACAGGAGGAAAGGGGAACACCTCTTGAAGCATGCATGATGCGTTCTGCGTTCTGAAGCCCTGGCCACAGGCTTTCTGCTCCTTTGGAGCAAATCCTGATTCCAGAGCCCTTGGTGGCCAGGGCTGTTGGTGCCCATGGCCCTGAGGAAGCAGGGTGGACTCTGGATCCTGCAGAGTGGCATTGGCTATGGCCGCTGGTGGCACATTTTGCTTTTATGACTGAACAAGTGGTACTTGCCTGCTAGCCACATGCCTGGAGAGCCAGGCGGGGTCTCCTCCACACTGGGTCAGTGATGTGGCACAAGCCACTTTGGTCTCTGGACACGTGTAGATTCTTAAAAATCACAGAGGCTGGAGGTGTTGCTTACTGGCTGACAGTTCACACAGCAGGTGTGAGGTCCTGAGTTGCACCCTAGCACCACACACACGATTATGGAGGACCCCCAAAGAACTCTTGCTCATGTGGGCTTTATCTATTGATAGTTACCATATTAGAAATTAAGAGTAGGGCTGGGGATGTGGCTCAAGCGGTAGCGCGCTCGCCTGGCATGCGTGCGACCCGGGTTCGATCCTCAGCACCACATACCAACAAAGATGTTGTGTCTGCCGAGAACTAAAAAAATAAAAAAAAAAAAAAAAGAAATTAAGAGGAAGGGGGGTGGGGTTGTGGCTCAGTGGTAGAGCACTTGCCTAATATGTGAGGCCCTGCGTTTGATCCTTAGCACGTTGTTTAAAAAAAAAAAAAAAAACTAAATAAAATAAAGGTATTGTGTGTCCATCTATAATTAAAAATATTTTTAAAAGACTAAGAGGAAGACATTAAGAATATTAACTAATTTAAAGTAGGGCTGGGGGTGTAGCTCAGTGTTAGAAAGCTTCTCTGGGTGAGTGAAGCCCTGGGTTGGAGATACTCAGCATTGCAGACAATGCGGACCACAGACCCACCTCTGGTGAGTCTAAGCTAAACTTGAGTGAAGTCAGGCATGGTAGCACAGCATGGAATCCTAGGGAAGCAGGAGACTGTGGCAAAAGGATTACAAATTTGAGGCCAGCCTCAGCAATTTAGGGAGATCCTGTCTCAACATAGGGGTGTGGCTCAGTGGTAAAGCACCCCTGGGTTCAATCCCAAGTACACTAACAATAATCATAATAACGAACACAGCTATTTTCTCAGACAAAAAATAGTGAATACTTAGATCAGTTAAATTTTGATCTAAAATTGGAACACTGTAGTAAAAAACGAAGCAAATGCCTGTGTTCACCAAGACCGGAGAAGGAGGTGCGCTTCCCGCAGCAGAACAGCTGGGGTTGAGTCGCCCGCGCCAGGGCCATGTGAGGTGGACACAGCTCCGAAGCAACGTCGAGTGGATCAGTACTTTTCAGGAAAAGCTGAAGAACATAAAAGTGTCACACAGGCACACCCAGAAAATGACAGATGGCACCGGGCGCCACCGACTCGGGGCAGTGTCGAGGACAAGCGGAGGCCGGGCTGGGAAGGGCACTGGCCCACTCTGTGCGGATCCTTCTTTCCGCGCCGGGCACTGAACCGGGGCGCTGGCCCGCACAGCCACGTCCCGCTTGGGCTCTTTCTGGAGCCAGGTCAGCTTACAGGTCTCCCTTGCAGGGCCCCGCGCCCGCTGTCCATGGCAGGAACGGAGGGCGGCACGGCGGGGCGCCCCC